AAAAAAAAGCTCAGTAGACCCAATCGTTCCTGCAAGAGAACCAGTGTACAGATGTAGATGTTTATTTTTGTAGTATATTTGAGCTTTATTGATATTTAGCTTAAAGAAAACTGTTTAAAAAAAAATCCAAGGATTCTATGAACTATGGATCTTCGTCTTCGTGATTCGATAAATGTTTATGTAGTTAAATCCAGTGAAAGAGTTTCAAATTATTACTATTATTATCTATAGTCATGACTGCAAACACAGTGAAAGCAACTTCCGACTTGCACAATACCAAACAATGAACTTTTGACATCTGACATTGACTGATCTGTGACTCGTTTTTGTTATGTCGGTCGCTAATAGCCCTCCACGTTCATTTACCATCAGTTTGCAATATTTATCTTTTGAATTTCTAATCGTTGCATATTCATCATTAAGACTTACTTTTCCTTGTATTGTTTTAGAGGTTTCACTAATACTTCGGCGATAAACAAAGTAACTTTATTTTGAAATAGTACGGGGGGCCAATTCTACTAAATAAATTTTGTTTAAATCGAATCGAAAACGGATCGAAAACAGATCGAAACCGAACGAAACTACAGTTTTTAATGGGTTTTCTATTCTACTAAGTGACATACGATACAATTCCAGCTAAAATAGAACTGGAATTGTATCGTATGTCACTTTGTAGAATAGGAAAACCATTAAAAATTGTAGTTTCGTTCGGTTTTGATACGTTTTCGAATCGATTTAAACAAAATTTATTTAGTAGAATTGGCCCCCTGAAGGTCCATTTATTATTATAAATTATAAGTTGTTTTGTATTCTTTTGTAATATGGTATGTATAAGGAATTGAAATAAATTATTATTATTATCATGTAAGTATTTTACATCATAATAATAAATGGAACACAAACGCATGCGTTTGCATACTACTCATACGAATACGGGTGAAGAAAGTAAACAAAAATAAATACATATTATTTTTTTCTGGTAGTGTTTAAAATACTATTACCGATAATCACACTTTTATGCTTATTATATTTATAAAATTGCTGAATTTAATTATAAAAAAATACATATTTTATACTCGTTGTCACGTGACCGAAAACAGCGCGTGACGACCCCTCTTACTCATATCAGAACTTAGGGAATTGAACCTTATGCATACATAGAACGATATTAGTTTCAGAGGGCCGTAACGGCTTGACTAGAAGTGGCGTTTTCGAGGGAAATTTTTAAAATATATAATTATTATGTAAACATATTATAAAATATTACTTATAAAAACCAAAAACCGCCAAAACTTAAAGAAAATTCACGAATATGTATACCCATGTAAAGGCTGTATGAGCTAAATCCCTTTGTTTTATTAAAAAAGCAACTAACAATAACATGTTGTTTGTGTGTTGGTGAGTTTTATGTAACGTTAATTGGTGAAATTCATATAGGGATTCGCATATTTTATATTTTTAATAAGCAAAGTTACCAAACTAAAGTTTAAAAGAAATTTATATGTTTTGGCTTAAATAACTATCGTAATGTTATAAAGATGAAATTTTTTTGTGTTTCTTTGCATTGAATGGGCTCCGACACTATTGGAGCATTTTTTTTCGCATGCGAGAATATGCCTATGTTACCCGCGTATGGGTTACCCCATAGGCGGGTAACAGAGGCTATAATTTACGCGGGCGATGTCGTGATAAAATAACTAGTTTATTTAAAAAAAATATACTGCCGAAAATATTTTAGTTTCAATTTTCATTATTATATATAGATATATAGATTATATATAGAAGCTGTAATGTAATTAGCTAAAAAGAAATATTCCATTAAGGAATAATTATCGCTTATAAGTGCTATAAGCAATAATTATTACGTAGTTTATTTTAGTTTTCAAAATGCCTAATTCATGAATGTATACCTGTATAATGATATTACCAAGACAAATACAATTAGTCTGAGATAATCAAGCCTATATTGTTCGTATAATGTTAGATATGAACCTAAAAGCTCCTAATTTTCCAGAGTATAGTCACATCAAACCGAATTACTCACAGTCACAACCTTGGCGAAACGGCCCGTGAGTCGTAAAAAGTTCATGCACCTCGGGAATTATCTAACTTTTCTATTTAGTCGTGTGTGTTTGCTTAAATATTCATCCAAAGTTACGTAGATGGAAGATGTTAGGCTATTTATGAGTGTAACTCTTGAGACACTGAAGTTAAGTGTTTAAAAATTTAGTTATAAGTGTAATAACGCGATAGATTGTACTATCAGTCTATCGCGTTAATACCCGTTTCTTACAATCTAATATAAACGCGAAAGTTAAAAAGTTTATGAAGGCAGCTATACTTTTAATTAAAAACACAAACAACATCTTAGTCTTATGTGAACACGGAACCTGTAAAGGGTCCGAAACGTCAATAAAAATAAAAACAATCGCTATGAAACCGTTTAAAGAAGTTCCTTTTATGGATAAGACCATTATTTTGCATAAGAGCATAGAATAGGGTAATTGCTGTAGCTTTGAACATTGGTTTTTCTATTGGTGCAAAGATCCGACTACACCTTCCGTCTTGCTTGTGGGCAAGCCTAAACAGAATTTAACGAGAGTGTAACAGAGGCTTAATAAGTAATTGGATAGTTTAAGCATTATGGTTTCCGTTAGAGTTGCTACTGTAAAATGAAAGGTAATTAGTTTTCGAAATCTTGTACTAGAGGTACAGGATTTTTTTAATTTTGTGGATATTGCCGTCTCTTTGATTTTTTAGATATATTAGGTTAGGGATAAGACTTTTCTCATATAGTATACATAAACTTGTGATAAAATCTTTCTGGCTATACCATTTGTATCTGGCTTGTTTCGGTATCATTAAAGTTTAAATTATAAAGAAGATAACTCCGAATTGATATTAGGAAAATATGTGATTTTCTTTTTTTTCTAACTGTGAAAATGAGTGAATCTAAAGAAGAAATTCAATACATTTTAAAATTTTATTCCCAAAAAGGTAAAAATACTACGCCAGCCTCGAAAAAAGTTTGTGACGTTTATTGACCTTGTGCAGTTTCTGTAAGAGTAGCACAAATTTGATTAAAGCGTTTTCAGTCCGGAAATTTTGATGTCAAATATGTACGTCACTCCGGTCGTCCTATTACGGATAAAATGGATGCCATTTTTGTAAAAGTGGAGCAAGGTCGGCATAGTTACGACGTAGCTGAAAAACTGGAGACAGCAAAACAGTTTTGGCGCTAGAAATGGTGATGAAAAGTGGATCATATACGATAACAATGTGTAAAAAAGGTTGTGCGTGGTTAAAAGTTAAAGGTTGGGTTGGTTCACAGACTATGGTGAAACTCGGGTAAACTCGCAACAAGGTGATGCTGTGTATATGGTGAATTTGGAAGGGCATTATTCATTATGAGCTGTTACCGCCAGGCAGAACCATCGATTCTGAACTTAACTACGAACAATTCATGAAATTAAAGCAAGAAGTTAAGAGAAAGCGGCGAGAATTAATCAATAGTAGGAGTGCAGTTTTTCAACATGATCTCACACATATTTTGCCACTCAGCAAAAATTAAGAGAGTTTGGTTGGGAATCTTAACCTTTCACATTCAGATTACCACCTGTTTCGGTCTCTTCAGATTTGTTTAGGCAGTGTCAAGTCAACATCACGTGACGACTGCCAAAACCACTTGTCGCGGTTTTTTCGCGGTGTTTATTGTAATAATATTGAAGCCAATATTTTTTTTTAAATTTTAACATGGCAACGACAATAAAACTAATACTAAAAGAAAAACTACAACGATCAAATCTATTACAATGAAACTTATAATATTTCTATTAATAATACGAGTATTGATAACATGCAAAATGAGATTTTAATAATAAAAAGAATTTCAAAAGTAATATAAAGAATTTCACTTCCATCTTTTAAAACTGGAGAATAGGTTTATTATAACAAAAAGGTCGCTTCCATGTCGCGTGATCACAGAAAATCCGGTGCAATAGAAAGAAGCCCATTAATTCATCCATGACAAATTATAAGAGAACGGCCATTGTTAAAAGAAGCCTGTACAACATAAAAAGGTTTTATAATACTTAAATATTTTCAGGCAGAAGATTTTCGTATTTTCTCCACACCTTGATTATTCGATACTGCCTTTTTAAGGTAAAAAGGTTATATTAAAATATTTTTCGGTTCAATAGGGTGGCGAAATTTGAGGAAATCGTTGGTGAAAATGATTTTTATTCTCCCGAAATATTTCTCATAGTTTATGTATATCATACTGATATAATTATGCCAATTCGAAATTAGGTTAATGGTAAAGTTAGGTTTTAATTAAAATTGAAATTTATTTCTGCATCTGAACTACTGCTGGACTAATATATTCTTATCTCTGTTAAATAAATATGACTGCAGAACTCTATCTAATACGTCATCTACAAATAAATAATGTTGCAGTGTCTGTTTGAAATATTAAAATAACCGCTTTTCACTAAATGCTTATGTGTATACACACGCTTCGTATACCAAAATAATCTGTCTGTTTATTTCGGCTAATCTGTAAAATGGCTAGACCGATTTTGCCGAGACTTTCACTGGCAGATAGCTTATGTGAAAAGGAGTAACATCGACTATTTCCCACGCTAGCAAAGACGCGAACACAGCTGGTTTGGTAAAAAAGTTAAAGAAGTTTACATTTCTATTATGTATTATTAATAATATGTCAGAATTATTTATTGGATAGTCAAATATCATTATGCACTAATTTCAGATGAATTTCATGCCTATAAACCTGAATGAAAAATATTGTTTAAACAAAATTGCTTAAAAAATCTCTAGACCCAAATGTGCAAAAATTTACAAGAGCTAGGACATTTTTTTCATTGATAAATTTCATTGTTAATACAGAATTCATTTTTCAGCATTTCAAGTGTTTTCTTTAATAGTGAATAATAAAATAAGTTTTTTTTTTAAATTATTAACCAATTTCTCTTTTATTTCAGCATTCCTGGTGTGCATCGGCTTATCATCATGCGCACAAGTCGAAGATCCATGCAAAACAAAATCACGAGTTGTGGGTGATGACAAATATTGCGACAAATACTGGGAATGTGACAATGGTCAGTCCATCCAGTACGACTGTCCTAACGGGCTGGTGTTCGCTGGGAAACATCGGGGGGTAACAGAGGGCTGTGACTACCCGTGGAGGTCAAACTACTGTGAATACCCAAAAGTGCAAATAAGTAAGTTCTTGTTATCCACTTGTCAAATCCCACTACTGAAGCACGGCCTTCTCATAGTAATAAATCCAGGGCACTAACTACTTTTCTTCAGAACAATAGAGGAACCCGACACTTCTTCAAAAAGAATTTCTTGCGTCAATATCTCATCGGCTTTTGTGAATGTTACTTAACATATGCAAGTGCAGACCGAACGCACTAATAAATTTATCATAAATAAAATCAACTAAGGTGTTGTAATTTAACTACATAAATATTGATGAAGATAGGCGTTTTGAAATCAATATTAGACAACGACTCGATATATAAAAAGAAAATCTGACTGAGTGACATAAACTATACTTCTTAATTATAGAGCCGGTGAGCACTAAGATAGATTTTTGAAAAATTTCCCCCTTAATGAGTAAAAGAAGTGCGAGGGAATTATCCATGAAACGAATCTTTAAAAATCTGCGATTAATCATTTGTTTAGAAATGATGTATGAAAAATGTCCTAACCGAGAAGACTTTTGATAACTACTTCATTTAATATAGTTCATTAGTAGAGTTATTTCTTTTAATTCACCAATCAATTATAAATAATGAAACCTCACACCGAAATTGAATTGATGTGATCTTGACTCATTATAGAGTAGTGGAAATAACCACCTATTATTATTTAATTAATAATGAGCGGTTGTACACACGATACGGTATTTCTTCTAACTACATGACTAATTAGGTTTACCAATCTTTTGACTGTGATCTATAACTATCATTGCTACACACTCTTATGAATAGAAAAAAATGCAAAGGAAAATATGCAAAGAAATGTATAATCGATGATATTATTTTTACTCTTTGTCCCTAAGTAAATATAACATAACACACTTTATAAAATTATGAGCTTAACATCTTCGACAATGTGAATGAAATCAAAACGATCTGTAACACATATACGTACATATAAAGTGATCGTTGTTTTACTTTTCTCGAAAAAAATGTCATTATACAACATTCAAACCCGCCCATGAGTTCTTCAAAATGTCTTGCGTAAATTACTATACAAAATAACGATTCTAACTTTTCCATTTGAGTCAAAATATATTCAGAAAATGTAGGTAAAAATGTAGACGATTCAAAAGTGCTTTTGATTCGGATGAAGATTATGTTTTCATTTTTTATTTCAATATTTTTTACAGATCCACCAATTGGCACGGAACATTGCGACTGGCTTTACGGTATTTTCGGACACGAGACATCCTGCACACGTTACTGGACCTGTTGGAATGGTACGGCCACAGAACAGCTCTGCATCGGTGGTCTACTGTACAATGAGAACGCACACTCCTGCGACTGGCCCGAGAACGTCGATGGCTGCCAAAAACATCGTGAGTAACCTTAAGGTTAAACTAACGTTTAACTAATAGAACCCTTTGGAACTAATAGAACCCTTTTCTGTCTAAAAACGCTTTGCGATAAATTGGATTTTCTTTAAAATTTTATATAATTAGATTTATACTTACATCCCTAAAAGTATAAAAAGTATTACCATCAAACGCTTGCAATATATTTTGTAAAAATTTTAGCAACTATCTGTAATATTTAATAAGATTTTCAAATATCCAGGCTTCCCTAAAAATTGCAGAGACATAAGATATCTTTAATAGATAGAATAGAATAGTAATATCCATAGCAAAAGCCGCTGGCTACTTAATCCCGGGTTATCTGACGAACGTGAGTAATTTTATTCAACAGGTACTCGTTTTATGTTTTCCGTAACTCTAATGAAAACTGGAAAACTTTTGATCACTTTCATCCATACTTTTTTGTGTCGCAATCTTTAAATATCATCATGGTATCAAAAAGTTTTATATAATGATCGTCCGCATTAAAATACATAAGAAAGATCAGAATATAGCCTAGATATTTTTTTATTATGACCTTTTTAAGAAGGCTTGAAAAAAGTTGCTCAGTAAATAAGATTTTACTTATTAATTCCGATTACTTCCTTGAGCATACTCTTTCTTTCTTTGACCACATAAAGCAAAAATCATACATTCTAAAAAAAGTACGTATCTTTGATTAAAGGTAAAGTATGTGTATATGCTAAAGTAGGAGATTATAATCTATACATCGCTTTGCTTCGCATCGCTTCAGATGTCTTTACGCTGATATCTTATAAACACAACGGATTTTAATGTGGTGTTCATTGATATACAGAGTTATTCAAGAGAAAGGGTATATGTATAATACATGACCACTGAGATGAAGCCGCTGGTTGCTAGTTTAATAATACGTTTGCCAAGACATAAATAAAACAAAAATAACGCGTTTACAATAACATCTTATGTTATGTCAGCTTAAAAAAATCGCTTTGTATTTTTCTTCAACTTTGAAAACAAATGGCATATTGTCTGTATAATAATTTATACGTCAGAAATGGACATTGGACAAGAAATGGACGTCATTTACGGACTCAAAGAAGTAACAACTCCTTATTCCTCCCCGGACAAAGTTGATAAACTTTATAGTCACTTATCTTACTTGCTTATTCTAAGCGACGGGAACGAAGGTTGTAACGTAAATTTTAAGTTGAAGTTGTTTTTACAGACTGAATATACTATTCCGTTTATTAATTTTATATTGTTTATAAATACCAATACCATATAATAAATATAATACCAGCCACAAAATACTATACGAAATGAAGAGTAGTAACATGGAACAAATGTGCTCAATTTCTGTTTAAAACTCTGAAAAAAACAGAAATGTTAAAAATAAATTTACCGAAGACAGACAGACCTTTTTATTTAGCTTGACGCGTTTAGTAATCGAATTATTAATTTAGGGTGGGATTTAGATAAGAAGCTCTTCACAATTTGCAAATTTATATAGTTAACATTTTAATTAGCATAATTAAGGCCTACTGGGGTATGAATAAGTAAAATAAAGTGTCATTTTTATTAAAAAAAAACCTTTAATATTTTTATGTGCAATTACGAATGACGGCTTCCAAAAAATCCCTTTAAGAGAAAATTGGGCCTATATTATGCCGCCCCTAATTATTGCCGCTCGGGGCAATTGTCCTCATAACCCCCTTATACCAGGCCCTACCCATTGAACACACCTTCTACATGACTCCGTCGTTACGGTATCGATCTTTATCCACAGAGTATTTCTCAGTTCTAATCTTCACAATGAGAAAAATACATTTTGCAACCAAAGTAATTAAGATTACGATGTCCATCAGTCATACATACATTAAAGTTTATCGATTATCGATCGAATAGACGTTTCACTACTCAATCGGCGGCGGTTGGCTTTCACCTTAATCGCGGAGGTAATAAGGCGTATAATAACTTCTTTTTAACGTTCGTTAGCCTGTATTTTATGTAATAATGAGTAATTGATCGCGTTGTTTATACTCGACAATCGACTCGGTCACTGACAGATGAAACTTATCTGTATTTCATCGACATCGCATCGACAACTAGATAGAGATCGTTTTAACAATGGCTATATGAATTTGATTTCTTTATAGATTAATTACGAATTGATGTTATAATAGGTTACAGAGTTCAGCGTCATTAATATATTATTTGAAACTTCAATTGGAGTTTCTTTTGCAATCATACCCTAAATATTATAATATAAATGTACTTATTATTGTGATAATACATATTAGTTTGGTAATGACATGATTTATGTAAATGTCATTACTTATGATAAATAGCTGGTAAGTTTCTTTCGCTTGTTCTTGTTGTCAGCTAAAAGACGTCCTAAACAAGTGGTAGGGGAAAAAAAATTTTTTGGTCGATTCAAAAGTGCTTGTTATAAGCCTACTTGAATAAAGATATTTTCATTTCATGTCATTTCGTATAGCGCCCAATACAATTAATCGTCCAACTTTTATAGAACTTTCTTGGACTACAGGACGATTATGGTTAAATATATTAACCAATAGAACTTTTACACTGAATGTCTTCGGGCACCTGAGTGAATTCGAAATCGGGTTTAGATTTATAGAGAATCGCAGGATAGAACAGGATGGTTGAAAAGCCCTGGTTTAAAACTAAAGGTTTGTGACGGGTTCGGTGCTTGGGTCAATTAATAAGGCTGATTAGCTTAAGCATAGATTTATTAATTATATAAGGGTAAATAAGAAACCCTTGTCGGGCTTCTAGTTAAACTCTTGGATCGTCCAAAATACAGATTGCAATTTAGTACAAATGTTATATAATTTGTATCATAATATCACATTCTTTATCACAATCAATAAATTATTTTAAAATTATATAATAAAATTTATACGATTAACACTGTATATTAATTTTCATGTTGTGCATAGAAGAATTTCTTACGAACTGACATCCATAAAGAGTATAATTGATTAGTCAAAATTTTAAATTACGAAAGACGAATAATAAAATGAAATGATGTTGAATTTCAAAAACAAAAAGTTTGCATACTGAAACCTAGGAAAACAAAAGGTGGCATGGCACACCGTTACAGGTTCATATCTCCGGCGCTATCAAAAAAGAGTACTCTACTTTTATCCAAATGGTGTAGCTGTTCGAGTGTTTGTTACATTACTACGTAGGTACAACAGCAATTAATTTAATCTACACTTATATTCATTGAAACTACCAGTAGTAAGTAAATCAGTCCAGACTGATTTTAAAAATTCATTCTTATAACTTATCTTAGAGCATTATATCTAAAGATCTCTTTTGGATTATGTGCATAGAGCTGCATGCAGGACAGGTTAACGAAATATGTCAAATTTAAGGCTTAAAGTCGACTGGAGAAATTTAACAGATTAGTATCACCTGACGTGGTGTTAACAGCATCTTTGTAATTTGCAATGTTTTTTGCATTGTATATGTCAATACATCCTTCTTAGAATACTATATGTAGGTTGTTGGTTCAAGGCCGACAGCTACGAAGGCTCTATCACAGTCTCCTTTCGAGACCGCTGTATATAGTAAATAATAATTAATTGATCAAGCAGCACGATCGATAAAATTACGTTCCGCTAGTAGGTTTGATAATTAATCTACGAATAGAAAATAATTGGTATTATCTTAAAGTAGTATAGTCTTTCCTCGCGAAAATTATAACCAATGGCAAACAAATAAACGATTTTAGAAACTTTACCTTTTTATTATATTTGTATGGATATGTTGCCACTATTCTGTAAGCAGCTAGGTCATTCTGTTCTTTTAATAGTTTGATTAGTAGAGGATGCCGTTTTAGCAACGAATCCGCCATTAAAACTTATGGCGATAAAGATGAAATAAATAAGAAGATTGGTATTTGTTTTTAAATCAATCTATTGTCTTTATTTTTGGAATTCTAGAAATATCAGAAAACAGTCTCATGTGTATAGTTTCTATGATAATAAATAAATAAAACAACTTTCACGGCGATTACTTAATACGAAGTTTAACCGGACAGTCGACATGTTGAAATAACTTTTAACTTCTTTTCTGTATTATCTCGGGACTTCCTAATTCTGTTGATATTTATCGTCGTGTCAACTTTAATTCATGTAATATTATCAATATTTAACCTGTAAGATCATATTGAATAACATTCGGTCTATCTTCGATATATTCACACAGATATTCACACATTCATATTCACACCGTATCCTTTGCGGTGTAGGCAGAGAGGACCGAACGCTACAAGCATAGAGGAAGGTAATATTCTGGGAAACTCAAACTCAAGGCATGGCCCATACATATGTATATGTACAAATATGTATATCTTTCGCCTCATCCACTTTCATTACTCTCTTCGTACATGCTGGCTGGGTTCTGAAGCTTCTAATATCCAACTTTTGTCATACCGACATATAGAAATAATATATCTTATCATAATCCCATCGCTCGTATGTGTAGAAATTATAATGAGATCCTCCCAGTTAATCAGGCATTAGACATATTTAATGCCAATCTCTTTAAATTCAAAAAATGTATTAAAGAAGTTGTGGTAGACCTAAATGTCGCATCTTTTTATTCATCCAGATTGATATATACTTATTCTTTCTGTTTAATTATTAATTTTTTTTTATTCTTTATCATATCTCATTGTGTAAACACCTTTAGGATATTAATTTAGTACTACACAGGTGTTACTTATTAATGTCTGTTGTTTTACCTAAAGCCTTCCTCCGCTTTTGCATACTTCCACTCTCGCGTCGCATATAAGTTCTATCATCCTCTCATTCAACAGTCTTTCCACATATCCCAATCGAAGGAGCATGTTTCGGTTAACGGTTATAAACTAATGTTATATTTGAGGTCAACTTTTGATAATCGTGTCTTATATCCTAATTTGTTTGATTATTATTAAACACAAGTAGTTCAAATTACATTTTCATCGATGCTATGATGATCTGATTTTATAGAGTTAACATAAATTAATGTATTAAGTATTTTGTAAAACAAAAATAATTATTATATTTGCGAAAATCACATTCACAATGAGAAAGGTCATGGGTTCGAATCCCATCTCAGGGTGCCAGGGACCAAGTGGACTTTTAAGTATTTTTCGTAAAACAATAATAAGATATACTCACCTTAAAATGTACCATAACCTTTATATCATAATCTTTGACCGAGTGGCTCGTACGCCAGTTTCAAAATATTGCCATCTCTGAGATCACGTTTGTAATTTCCGATTTCTATAATACAAATGGAGCCATATAATTTAGAATTTGAGCAATTTACATGCTTTTAACTAATATTTATTTGACGCAAAAATGTACATCATACCTGACTAATTACCTAAAAGTTTTCAGATATCACAATAAATGAACAACGTTAATTTTGAATTAAAATTTGAGCCGCTCACATCTTCTAATGATCAAGTTTCTTATTTCTAATGTAGATAAAGGGAGCTGGTGTAGATAAAAGGGAAATCTTATTTATTCTTTTAACTTTTTATAGAAACTTACATACACGTCTTACCTTTACTTACCTTACTTTAGTACCTACCAGGTTTAAACCGTCATCCATCCAAATTAAGCCAACGCGTCTCATTTTGACGACTTCTCGTCCGTCATTGTAATTTGCTTTAGTTGGCCAATGGTTGAAATAATGTACTTTAGTCCTCGTTTTATAATAAGACAGTGTGAGATTTCCAAAATCCAAAATTGAAATTAGTCTGAAACCCTGAAATTCAAACTTTATCTTATCAGTGATGCCATTATAACAAATATAATTTATTTTTATTAAGAAACTAACTTTTCACCAGCGGCTTCGCCCGCGTGGTCTTGTATTATACATAAAAACCTTCCATTTGAATCACCCTATCTATGAAAAAACCGCATCAAAATCCGTTGCGTAGTTTTAAAGATTTAAGCATACTTTTTTTTATACTATGTAATGATGTCTTTATTAGTACCATCTCTCGTACTATAGTTAAATGAAGTTTCTGATTCCGGAATTTTATATGAACTACTTATGAATACTTACAGAGCGCCTTTAACGCTAATGACGTGATACTGTTTTTTTTTAATATCATAACAATGTAAGCTTTGATTAAAATTAGATATTTAAACTTAGGGTATGGTAGAAGAATGAATGAATAAAATATGCTTTATTGTACACCAATAAATGACAAAACAATTGAATACAATCAATTAAAGTGCACCATTGAAGATCTTATTGCTAAAAAGGAGGTTTCATCGTAATTAATAAAATATTGAATTAGATGTAGGATTATGAGATGATTGTTCTATTTTATATTCTGGAAAATAGAACAACAAGAATGTGATAGATAGAAGAATGTGATGTGATAGAAATAAGTTGACGAAATCGTGGCCAACGTCACTTGGGGGTCACGTCCTGTGTTCTAGAAGCGATATTGAAGCATGAGGTCAACGGTGTAGGCAGTGATATACGTGCTTCGCATACCCTTCCTCTACGACTGCCTTGATTTGCTCATGAAAAATAATGAAAAATAATAGACCCCATTTTCGTACGAATATAGTCACAATTACTTTATTTAAAGTCGTTCTACAAACACAAAATTATTTTTTAGTGAGCTATCTACTAGATTTTTGTAACTTATCACAAATATACCATTCCAGCACTCTGCAATGATGACCCGAACGGTAACGTGCCCCTCGGCAAGTCCTGCAACAGGTACTGGCAATGCCAGGGCGGTTATCCACGGCTCCAACGGTGTCCAGCCATGTTGGTGTTCGACAGAAGGTCGCTGAGGTGTGTGGTGCCCCCCACTGAGGACTGCGATGTACCCACCACTACACCTGCACCGCCAGAAGAGGAAGATGAGCGACCGGTGAGTTAGTGGATTAAATTTCAAATCATCCTACAATATATGAAATTTAGTGTATTGAAATATTTTTTTTAATGCTACGATAACAGTACTATCTCAATTATTGGTTTAAAACAATTGGTTACATAACATTAGGTTCTTTTATGTTCTGTTTCCTTCCAAAGAGTAATATTTTTAGTTAAGGTATGAGAATTATAAGTAACTAATCTCCGCTATTTTATGATCAGATATCATATTATTGATGCTTATCCAATATCAAATATTTGAGTTTATCCCACGTCACTGTATAACAATAACTATTCAAGTGCAAAGTGGCTATGAAATTTCGCACGCTTTATCAAAAACTGACGTAACTACCTAATCAAAAATTTCGCAAAATTAGAAGTCAAAGCTTAAGCGGTCATAAAATTTACAATATTTGGGTTTTGACAGTTTTTATTAAGGATTATGCTTGATACAAATGCGATTCGTACTCCTCCTAAAGTCCTACATGACTATCGCCCAATTGCACAAATTTCTATTAAAATTGCCATTAGCTTAGGCATCATTACTGATACAAACTTTAAAATTCACAACATTCATTAGATAGATGTGACAAAAGAAGTTTTTATTACAATTTGTAGTGATTTGATTGTTAATAATTTTTCAAATATTTTCAGGTACAACAACAGAAGAGGCCAGCAAATGAATATTCCGAAGCACAGCCCGGTCGTCAGCGGCCAAGGAACTAACTTCTAGAACCTCCTTGCTTTCCTAATTATATTTCATTTCCCTACGATTCACGTAGTCTTTGTATAAACCAATTATTTTGTGAACTTCTTAACAGTATTGTATGATGATAATTCGCTTAACATTTGATTCATATAAATAAGAGTTCTTTCTTTATAATGAGAAAGACGGTCGATACGTCTTTCTGGAAACATACTTTATATCACTTTGCCGGTATTTTATACTTAGCATTTACGACCCAATGAATCTGTATTATAACTTAATGTAAAAACTCACAAATAGCCGTATGACCGTCTTGTATCTACGATTCTCTGCTCGTCATAACTTCTGTCCCACCATACTCTTGACTTTTCATTTCAATTGCCTCATTGAACAAATGAAAAGTATATAAAGACTCCAGTAAAATATAATACTTACAATTTAAGTTTCGTACTCTGAACTTTGTCACAAAGTATAATAATTGAAAACCAACTTTCGATTGGTAAACTTAAATGATTGGTATTGTACATTTCAAAATATTTTATAATTTTCTTGTCACAAACCAATGAGGCCTTGGAGTTGTGTTTATATTTCATTAAGTTAGTTTATTGTTTTAATTAAGTACCTCTAGTAAGTAGTAATTAAGTGTTTAATAAATTGCGGAATTCTCAAATAAATACTCTGCAAATAACCGTCCAAAAATGCTAGACCAATAATCACTTCATAATTTTCTTAATATAAAAAAAGCTATAAGAAACCTTTTTATAAATCAACAAATTAGAAAAAATGTAAATTGATAATCTACGCTGATATTTATTTTCACATATTACCTACCAAAAAGGAACAATCAACAGCCTGATAAAATCATTCATAATTTTTGGTAAAATTCTATATACAGTTTTTTATAAGTCAATATTTATATTTATAAGTCCATTTTTATAAAGAAAAAATAAAATAAACAATATAGAAAATTTACTGTGTTTCCATTTACCCAAGATATTTTCTCAGTTATGTTAACCCTGTCCCGATTAACCCTCAATATTAAAGGTCTTATTGCATGTCTGGCAATTACAGGAAAGCGAGTTATATACAGCAATTAGAACAAAACCTTAGAAAGATAATTAGGACGCCTCATTTCTACCCCCATTGTTACCACCAAAGAATAAACCTCCGTGGAATAGACGTAGTTAAAGAACTTACAAAAATATAAATTCAGCTTGTTGTTGTGTTGCTCATATTGATTATAGATTAAGCCTCAATATACCACTCTGTTGAATGTTAAAATCACTAATACAAATCATCATCGTATGATGTGATATGATATGGATGGAATCGAATCAAATCGAATAGGGTGAATGGGCCATAACCCACCACGCGATTCTGATGCGGACCAGTGTTAACGACTGCAGACACTGGCAGAGGTGATCGATATATATTTTTTTAATTATATTAAAGTGCCTCCCATAGCACAGAGGAACTAGAGATGATAATTTTTTTATTACCTATCCTGTGACTAACCCTCGTGTTGCTTAACCCCATCGACCGAATACTACACTATCGAGCTCTTCCCGGTATCATATCAAAAACCAAATATCCAATCACAATGTTCGCATCAAATGGAATCCCATTTTAAAAAGTTTCCTCCCTATCGCCGCTGACGACTTTGTCAACAAAAAATGGAAATTGCCAGGGAAATTAGCATATCAGATACATTCGGGTTATTATTTACTTTATTAGGTTACAAACGTTTTGCAACAAATACAACTTTTTTGTTTATTCACGTTAGTTACGTAACCAGACGGAAAAACGGGACGGTCCCGTTCAAAGGCGTCCAGTCAAAGGAGTCCCCAAAGATAAATCCGTGACGCAAAAATGTCCCTTTTTTGACATGACGTGAAATTTTGTCGCCCGCACAAAGTAAGGAAGAGGGATAGGCGACAATATTGAATTAGGACAAGTCTTAAAGTAAATTACAAACAAAATAATATTTTCATCCCACCTTCTCGGAAAGAGTATTTTTACCCGACTTCAGCGAAGCGAAAAGGAGGGTTATGATTTTTGCCGGTATGTATGTAAGAAAGTTTATGTTTCCTTATAACGTCGAAACCACTCATCGTAACTGGACAAATAAGGTATCATTAGAAGCATCTTAGTTGTCCGCATGCTATAGGCTATGACACGTTACATTAAATTGGCAATAGCGGCTTATATATTATTCAATCATATGAAAGGGCTTAACTAGCACATTTCAAATATACTATATAAATATTGATGGATTTTCCTTGCGATTTAGCTTAAATACACCCTTAAATTAATTAAATAAAAAATAAGTTCAAAAATTCACGCTCTCAAAAGCTTGAAACAAGAAATTTATTTTATTTTTATATTATTTTTTATATTACAATAGCGATGAACAAAGGACAGCGTACCTAGTTGTATGCCATTGATCATAACAAAACAAACTGTTGTGGTATACGATAAAGCTGTCCTTTGGTCATCGTTATTATATGTAATATAGTTTTCGCTATAAATTAATTTCTTGTTTCAAACTTTTGAGAGTGTGATTTAGCTGTAGTCGGGTTTTCGCTCTTCTAAATCTGAGTTCAAAAGCTGTTTTTATCCGCTGAAAGATAAAATAAATAGATTTTTCAATGTAGTTGCTCATAAAGCGCTATTTTTTTAATCCATTGTAAACAACGAAAGTGAGTGTTAAACACGTGTTAAATAAAAATGTACTGAAATCCTTTACTGCACACGTGCTTAAAAGTATTTTTTTAATTTTTTTTTGGCCGAACACCATAGAAATTTAAAAAAAAAATGATGAAAATATGTCAAACTTAAGAGGCAAAAATATTTCAAGGAGTCCAGAACGAATATTTTCAAATAAAAATGTATGACACGAAAACATATTCAAATATCACGATTAATTTTAACAAATAATTTTTACCTTTAATACATACTTAATTTTATTAATCTATATATTTATTTTATTTCCTCGCAAAAAGCATTGAAAAATGTTGTAAAAAACTTGAGCGTAAAAGGTTTTTCGAATTCGTGCCAATGAAAACCCTCGCTACGCTCGTGTTGTCAATTTGGCTCTTATTCGTAAAACCTTACTTTCCGCACTCGTATCTTAAATAACTATAAAAAAAAATCTATTTAATTCTACCTCCATGGTGCCAAATTTATCATATAACCTTTTTTATTTTGTTAAAAACTCAAACTCGGAACCTTGTTGGAGAACTTTTTTTTAAATTTACTTTCCAGTTTCTTTTCGCGTCTAACAGTGCTGCTTATAAACAAGGTTTAGCGTCAGAGTAAATTTACGCTAAAATCGCAATTTTAGTATTAGTACATATTCATATTACACAGAGAATAAGCAAATCTACTACCTTCTAGGAGTAAATATTACTCCCGTAGAACCTCGTACTAGGTTAACCTTTGTTGAGTCTCTGTTTCATTGGACATGACGAACTTGAGAATGTTTTGATTACACTCAAATGACACCTTTCTTCGGTACGCTCATAAGCTCGAGAGAAGAACTCTCGATCTGAAAAATTTGATGTTTTTGAAACATTTTAATTTTAGCGTCAGAGTAAATTTACGCTAAAATCGCAATTTTAGTATTAGTACATATTCATATTACACAGAGAATAAGCAAATCTACTACCTTCTAGGAGTAAATATTACTCCCGTAGAACCTCGTACTAGGTTAACCTTTGTTGAGTCTCTGTTTCATAATATGAATTTTGACTAATACGAAGAGTCTTAGCGTAAATTTACTCCAACGCTAAACCTTGTTTATAAGTAGCACTGTTATTGTTTAAACTTTAGGTTAAAAACAAAGAACTTGAAAACAAGTGAAAAATCTACAATGAGTAATTCTAGCGAACGAACAAGTATATGTGACGCCGACAGTATTGACTGAAATTGCCAATAATGCGCAAATGAGCATTCTCCCTCATTAATCACGCGAGAAGTATTTGAACAATTTTAACACATGGCGACTATCTAAAGGAGCCAAAGCTTTCCGAGAAAACGTTTTGCTGGCTATTTTATTAAATTATCCGAAACCAAGAAATCAAGCAATCTATGGAATACATAGTCAGTGCTAAAAGCAGCAAAAAAGATGAAAAAGACATACATATATCGAAACCTATCGACAACTTTAGTCACACTTTTAGCCGATTTAGGAGCTAAAGCTCCTGTCCCATAGGTACCATGGAGGCTGCAAGTCCAATACGGTTGTAGCGGGACCCATAAAGGATTCCATTCTTCTGTAATATTTACCTATCATAATGAAGTAGTTAATACTAAAACTGAAATAAAAATGTCTTGAGATAGCAAATGGTTTCTTTGCATTTAGTAATTTCCTCGCTAAGATGAGATGAAAAGCTACGTGTTGCACACTAGCGCAAAGATTTTTCACTTCACTTCGCTTTTACTTCACCTCGTGCTCCCTCACTAACACTCAGGATTCAATTTTTTTTTAAATTTTAGAATCCTTCGCTTGTTTGTTCAAAAGCAAATTTTGCACTTTTGTATGTACAAATAAGTATTATTCATATATGGAGTAAATATGGAAATCAAAATTTCACGACCCTGTTTTGAGCAAAACAAAAAATGGTCAAATTAATTATAACCCATGTTAACTTTTAGGCATCATCATAATATCGTGAGTATGTTTAATTCGGTATTCCCTCGTACACTTACTAATTCGCATCAATTTAAGGGTGCGTGAAATACGATTTTGTTTTGTTTAATTACATTTATACCAAACAACAGTACATATGTTGCTCAGATTCCAAGTAGCTAAAACCCTTATGAAATCAGTACTATGTCTCCCACAGAAATCAATGATGACAGATTATAATAATATTGGACTTCAGGTAGATAGTATAATGATAAAATACAAGTAGTTGATATTCTAATGAGATGCGATTATTACATTAGCAGAATCGACCTACAGGCAGACATACAATATAACCACCAGAAAATAATTCGTTACACAAAGTTAGAAAATAAATATCCGAACATTAAATTTAAGGTTTATGTATTCCCGAATTGGTTATATAATGTTATTATATATTTAATTGCATTATATATATATATGTGACTTTCAAACTGAATACATAAATTTCAGTTAATAATATTCACATGCACCTTGATAGGTATGGCAATATAGAAAGATGGAAAGAAGAGGGTCAGACATTCCATTTATCTTAAACTTTTCATTCAAATATTCATTCACTATATAATAGCATTTATTTAATAGGATATTCTTTAGCATTTTTATGAATCGAGTATATTTTGTTTCGTTCTTTAGGTATTCAGGAAATTTATTATACATTTTAATTGACATTTTATACGTATTTGGATTAGGTTATTTTTATAGCGTGGTGTATTATGACAAGGAAAATCTCTTTTCTTTGAATACATGTTAGAATGCTGGCGATTAAATTTACAAATTTGTTATATGTAGATGTAATGTTATTGTTGTTATAATCAATTGTTATAATACCTAATGTTAATAAAATATTATTTTAAGGTAAATACAATTATTAATTAGAATATCTATTGGTACAATAGTCTAACAGAAAAAAATTACAAAAAGTACTATCATTTATTAAGATAAGTATGGTTTCTATAATTTTGCTACAGCATAAAATCTAACTTACTCGATCAACAATATTGATATCGATGTTTCGACGTATCGCTTCAAATAGCTAATATATCGATATATTTTTCGGATCCTAAGCAAATTCAACAAGCTTGTTTGTAAAAACCTTATGTAGAAATAATACGTCTTAAATGTATTTAAAAAATCGACCCATAATTGGTGGCAACTACTGCCTACTAAGCCTGTTCCTACTTCGTTGGATCCTGTACGCGTAGCATGACGAACTTGAGAATGTTTTGATTACACTCAAATGACACCTT